AGCGCCTGTTTGTTCTGCATTATTTTCTCATTAGTAGAAATATTAATACCGTTGGAGGTAAAGCAGCCTACAATTGTTGACTGCCTTTGTGTGATGGTGGGCCATGTTTGTGGAAAATAACGGGCAGAAAATTTCTGAAAAATGAGGCTACAATGCAGAACAAACAGGGGCTAAGTACTCATTTGCAATAAATCCAACAAAGAGTGTTAATATAGCTCGTTATCACTTGTACTATTGAGTCAAATTACTTAGACCTTGTTTGGCCCTCATTAATTCATAATATATTTAGAATATACTAGTCATCAAAATTAATATTCATTTATGTATACACCATAGATCCATTTTCCATAAATTCAATCAATAACCAAAAAAATGAGAATCCAAAATTTTTCGCAATCTACAAATAAGTACCCCTCTGCAATAAATCCAACTGAGAGTGCAAAAATATAGCTCGTTTAACTTAACACGTATATTATTAAGTCTGATTACTTAAGGGGAATTTTCATAGATAATTACTCAATTTGATCGAACTCATTTTGCAGTGTTAAATCTAAGGCTCCGTTTGATTAGCAGAGATAGAAAGACTTTCCAATTCCATGTTAGTTGGAAAATAAAAACTCAAATACTTCGTAGGAATGCATTTTTCATGAAATTGGCAGCTAAAAGTGGTTATATCTTGAAATTCGAACTTCATTTTCACTTTCGTATCAAAAAGCTAAAGTAAAAATTGAATTCTTCGGTTATGACGTTTTCTATGGAATTTAAATCAATCAAACGGACCTAACTAAAGAGAATAATAAAGACTCCATATATGAGAATCCAAATTATTTGATGTGGAAATTACACATACCCCTACATTTGGAGATTCAAATTCTAAAATCAGATTTTGTGTTTAAAGTTTCAAAAATCAGATATTTAAATATATAGATACAGATTTTTAATATTTAATTAAATAATAATAATAACATTATAAAAATTAATTTATATACACCCACGTAACCCCACCCCTCCCCTAAATTAATTCTCAAGCCCTAAAATCAATTATCATTTCTCTCTCACTTCTCTATCTCTCTCCCCGTCTCCCA